TCAGTATCATACAACTAAATACAAGTGATAGTTTAATACCTTCACAGTTGGGAATTGTCAGCTGTCGGCTCAAATCTCTTCTCTGTATCTTGTCATTTGTTGTGTGTGTACTTAAGGATGGCCGCGATTTGTTTTTATTAGTGTTTAAGATAAATAAATTTTAAAATAATAACTTTTTTCTTTATTTTTACATTTTTAACTGCATGTTTATCTATCCCCAAATTATTATTTTAAATAAGTACTTGTTACTATTACGAGTACTATGATGTATACATGACATAGAAGAATTTTAAATTCTTTCTAAAAACACTCTCGCTACAACAATGTTAAATATATTAAAGTTATAAAACAAAGTAGCTTTTCGTGACCTCTGTTTGCTTCTATTTTGTGGCGAACCGCGAAACAGATTGAAATCCGGTTTTTGTCATCATAAAGGTAGGTATTTCAGGATAGTTTATGTATCTATTTCATTATAGTTAACTTTAGCCTACATGAATAAATAGCGTTCCTCTAAACACCTTAAATTTTAGTTTTTTGGTTTACCTAGCTTGAACTATTAAAATTTAAGAGAATTATATCTCAAAAGCCTGAATCGAGCAAGCATTTAGTATAGATTAAGGTTACATTTCACACTGTAATATTATTCAAACAAATAATTTGTAAGACATCGCGATCACAAACAATAAGCGCTAACAAAGAACCGGGTCGCGGCCCGGATGCGGATGTTTATACTTGGTTCCTGCTAACAGAGGGGACACATCATCGGGAAAGGTACTACTCGTACTGAAATTATGGAAAAGAACCAGTCCTATATGTGCTGCACCCGGACGAAGCCGAGGCGGGCGGCACTGGTATAGTCATATTGGGGGAGCAGAAAGTTAAAGTGTTTGTATCTCTATCCATCTATCTATCTTTGTATTATTATACGGATTTATACTTAATTTTTACATAATTTTTTTAAAAATATTAGCCGATTTTTGTTAATTTATTAATATTTCTTGAAACATACCAAGTAAGCTCTAGGCTTGTGATAGGATGTGGTTTATGAATATAGTCGAATGACGGGATTTGAACTCTCGACCACGTGATCGAAAATCCGTACCCTAAACCATTAAGTTATTGGCGTTCTAAAATAACAAGTCAGATATTAGTGTAAGTTTAACAGTGGTAGAGCCCGCTTTAACATCTTCGCTCGAATCGGCCCGGCTCGCCCGGTGAAATAACACGACCATACAGAAGACAGGCGTGAAGTGGAAGTAATTCCGCGTTTCATCTGACGAGTGTGCGTCCCGGAGGCCTTTAGTTCTCTTTCCCTTCCCACCCTTTTCCTTATAAGGAAAGGATGGGAAGTGGAAGTGGACTTTCCGGTTAAGAGGATGCATGGGAAGGGAAATTATTTTCTTTCTGTGCATCCTCTCCTCCGTCGATTAAAGGTAGGCAACGCATATGCAATTGCGTATGTCTATGGACAAAGGTCACTTCGCTACTTCAGCGATTTCAGGTGGCCGCTCGCTCGTTTGCCACCTTATGGTATAAAAAAAATCTATACAAAATGCTTGCTCGATTCAGGCTTTTGAGATATAATTCTCTTAAATTTTAATAGTTCAAGCTAGGTAAACCAAAAAACTAAAATTTAAGGTGTTTAGAGGAACGCTATTTATTCATGTAGGCTAAAGTTAACTATAATGAAATAGATACATAAACTATCCTGAAATACCTACCTATATGATGGCAAAAACCGGATTTTAATCTGTTTCGCGGTTCGCCAGAAAATATAAGCAAACAGAGGTCACGAAAAGCTACTTTGTTTTATAAAATTAATATATTTAACATTGTTGTAGCGAGAGTGTTTTAGAAAGAATTTAAAATTCTTCTATGTCATGTATACATCATAGTACTCGTAATAGTAACAAGTACTTATTTAAAATAATAATTTGCGGATAGATAAACATGCAGTTAAAAATGTAAAATAAAGAAAAAAGTTATTATTTTAAAATTTATTTATCTTAAACACTAATAAAAACAAAATGTATATCGCGGCCATCCTTAAGTACACACACAACAAATGACAAGATACAGAGAAGAGATTTGAGCCGACAGCTGACAATTCCCAACTGTGAAGGTATTAAACTATCACTTGTATTTAGTTGTATGATACTGAAGAGCTTGGCTTAACGCGACGTGCGCCTTAGTGTATGTAGCCGTGGCCAAGACCCAGCGAGCTGTAGCCTCCGTGGCCGCCGTAGCCTCCGCTGGAGCCTCCGTATCCGCTGTAGCCTCCGTATCCGCTGGAGCCTCCGTATCCGCTGGAGCCTCCGTATCCGCTGTAGCCTCCGTATCCGCTGTAGCCTCCGTGGCCGCCGGAGTAGCCGTGCCCGAGGCTGTACGAGACAACTCTGCGTGTGACGACGGGAGCCGAGACTACGTGTCCGCTGTAGCCTCCGTACCCGAGACCCTGACCCCCGTAACCGAGGCTATGGCCCCCGTAGCCGAGATTGTAGCCTCCGTAGCCTATGCTGTGACCTCCATAGCCAAGACCAAGTAGACCGCGCTTCTCATTCTTCTTCTCCTCTTCTGCGCCGTACACTGCGGCGACCAGGACTAACAAACACACCTGAAAATAGAAAAAAGGTATTATTAGGTATCGATAGAAAAGCTCTCATACAATCCGAATGAGTCAGGAGAATGTAGTTGAATGGTAGTTGTATGATGTAAGACAATGAACAATAGTTGACTTACGATAGCCTTCATGTTGCAGGAGTAGGTATTGCTGTGCCGGGGTGAGCAGGACACTGGATGCAGAGTCGGCGCTCGCGCAGCTTATATACGCCGGCAGTCGCAAGCGGGCGCGCAGCCCCTCTTCGCGGCGGGTGGCAGCGTCGGGGTGGATGCTACACCTTTCATTAACTCAATGACACAAGGCTCGAATGAAATTGTTTTCATAACAAACAGCACCTTCACGCAGTTAAGTCAAGTTACATTATTAAAAACACTATGATAATGTAAGAACGTATGAAATGGTACAACTGTGTACAGTAATATGCTTTGTTTTAATCAGGCCCGAGCAAAATAGAAATTTAATGCATACTTAAGAAAGAAAGACAAGTAAGTTTATTTTCTAGGTCGAATTTATAGGTAGACTAGCTGTCGACAACGAAACACTGCGCGTGAAATTAGTAAAAATACTTTTTTTAAGGGGACAAACGACACGTGGGTCGCAAAACATTAAATGATCCGACGCCCCTGAACATCCGCAACACCAGAAAAACCGCAGATGCGTTTAATTTAATTTGGGCACCTCGGTGAAGATATATATATGAGGCAAGGAGAGACAATTGCAATGTAGGTCCGTGTTCTATAATTATCAAAAGTGTTGACGTTAACAGAGGTAATATTATTGTTATGTGAACATGTTTAGATCAAATATCTTCGTCTCGGTCCACTGCATTATACAAGAGATCGCCAATCGCCACAACGTTGTGTTAGCTTTCCAACTTTCTGGCCGGTGCCTTTCCCGTGCCCTGGCCCTGTCCCTGTCTTGTCGAGCGTCTCGTGTTAAAGCCTAATAAGTAAGAATTAACTCATCTAGGAAGTAAAATAACTCAAATATAACACATACCATATAATGAGTCAAAAAAATAAAATAATTAATTACCAAAACTTACAAGGTTAAAAAACTTTTACTGATAAACAGTTGTACATCTCTATAAGAACTAAAGCACTTGTCTAGCACCGATATGTTCTAAAATGGCCTTTTCATAAATCTTAGGCTTCTAGGACTTCATGAACTATCATCATACGGCTATTACCGGAATCACTCAGTTGGGTAATATTTTTGTTGCATATAGTATAATATGTGGGTTTGTACATATGTAAGTTTCATTACGACCGCCTGAAGCCTAAACTACTGAACCAATTTTCGAGTATGAGGTGTCGTAGAGTACGTACGTACGAAGTTAGTCAGTTTTGTTGCTGTGACGTCATGCGTTTCCTCTGCGGCAACACTTGTACAATAGACGTCTCCTTAATTTCTTCAAAGATTATATATGCGGGATAACATTAAGTCAGTCACGCGAGCCCAGTGTGAGTTGGTTACCTTCACACATATCTTTGATTTTTTTGCAGATATGTGCAGGTTGCATCACGACATTTTCTCCCATGGTTGAATAAATGTACATAAGTAAATCGCAAAAAAAAAACACGGTGGTACAAGGCGGGACTTGAACCCAGTACCTGCAGTTCAAGTGCTCAACCCCTGAGCCACCGAAGCTCCAGGGGGGTATACATCGTCATCGAAGTAGCTGCAATCTGCTCGCTCTCATAAATAAGTTAATTTTGAAACTAAATCTATTGCTTACAAGTAATGACTCACTGATATTATAAAAGCTAACATATCCGCCCTAAGTACCAAGGTGGAGACCTAGATGTGTGCTAGCGGGTCGGGGCGGGTCGGTGCCGGCGCGCTGTATATAAAGAGCGGCGAGCGCAGCCACCTGCACTGTCTCTGCTCACCCCGCCGACACGCTACTTGACAATATGAAGGCTATCGTAAGTTATATCCAGGATTATATTCATAGTATTTAAAAGAACAAAATTCAAATATTTTTTTTGTTTTCTTCAATATTAATCTGCCCAGGAGCTATTAGGTTTTTCTACGCTCAGGCAATAAATGTCTTCATAGACATTTAACTAAAATAACTAAAATAAATTCCTTTTATTACGAGTAGTAAAATTTTGTCCCAATACGATTAGTGAAATGTATGAAATTAAAAAAAGGGAGAATAGTGAGAGTTTATTGATTGTG